GATTCCTTCTATTGTCTTTGTCTATGTTGACATTTTCCTTGATATGAGAAACTTCTAAAATGTCTATGCGAAAAAGTATTGCTCAAGAGCCTACAGGAACTATGTATGATGAACAGGAACGTCAAAAAATGCTTCGACTTAATCGCGAAATACGTGAACCACAAGAACCTCGTCTTGAATGGATTTATTCTGGTGATCGTACGAAATCTGAAGATTATTTACTCGGAAAAAAATTTGACGCTGATTCACAGTCAAATAATGTAACTGAAGATAATACAACAACATCAACTATTGATTTAGCTAATAAAATTCGTGAAGATCCATTATATTTAATTAAGAAAAAAGAAATTGAACAAAAGAAAAGAATTTTAGAAAATCCTGTTCGACTTAAACAACTTAAAGAACTTTTAGAACGACAAGAATCTGCGTAAGTAAAATTTTGTTCTTAACTAAGATGATGAAGCATTATTCACAGAAAAGATTTTTTAAGAATACATATATGGTCAGCTACCGTTATCTAATTCTAATTATATACAGAAGCAGAAAATATTCGAACAATTTTATATCTATTATTCAATCCTAATAGTTAATCTTTGAGCCTTGTAATCGTCTGTTGAAAGATATAATGATCATGGGTATTTCTGCAATAGTTCAGTAACGACAAGAACTAGAGAGTTATGATTTTCATCGTGCAAGAGAGAAGGCTCGGAACCATCAATATATATTGAAATTGTATCAGTGAAATATCGATCAATCAGATGCGTTTGGTGGAGACTTTCGAAAAAAATATTCTAAAGTTATTTCTATTCTGATATCTACAAAGTCGGCACTCCTAGCTTGTTTTGTCCGACAGTTATAAGACTTTTTTTTTGAGACTCTCGATTCCAGTCAATTGACCTGTGATTATGATATTTGGTTTTAGGCTTGACATAATCTGATACTGGTATCTTCATATTTTTGAAACGTCAACTTCTTTGTTACATAGAGACTGATTGTGGAATTCCAAAAATATTGTGATAAAAGTGTCAGATCACTTCAAACCTAAAAAAATATCACCATTCGACTCGACATGGTGAATAACTCTCTGCCTGGCTTCTTTCTTGGGTGATCAAAAGTCAATTAGCTGATATCAGAGGTCTCAGGAATGTTGGCCTTAATATCATACTCGAAAAATCTCCATCAAAAACTCATCTGATCGATCAATTGGTGACCAATCGAATTTCAATACAGGTCGATAGTCCTGAATCTTTTCTCTTGAACTACTGCAAAAATACCCACCGTCATATATTTTTTTGACAGACGATTATTAGTAGTCTATTTAAAAGGTATGTGTCTATAAGTTTTTTCATTTATTTTATATGAAGAAAAATTGTGACTTTAAATAAAATTATTATACGAAAGTCATGAGAGAAGTCTCATAAATGATATAGCACTTTTCAGTCGGAATTATATATATCACATAGGTCCTAATGAACTCTAGAAACTCTGAAAAGAGCTCCGATACTGAATGCTACGGACTACTTCAAGAAAAATAATTTTCGCCTTGAAACTTTGCAGAGACAGACCTTAAGGAGAATACTGTATTATAAAAGTTTTAGATTTTTTCTCGGTGTCCCTATTTTACTAAAATTCGATGATGGTAAAATGGTGCCTTCACATTACTTATGTACATTCACAAACCCTTGAGGTAACCGATCAATAGTACACAGAGTTAAACCTCTGTATGGGAGCAACATATATTCTATCATTCAAGTGCAAGAGGAGAAAGAAATTAAGTTATGATAAATAATCACATGACACATAGGAAAAGAAAGTGAACTACTAGTCGTGAGTTTATACCAAAAAATACAGTATTAGACAACAGCAACAAGGTTTAGTTCAAGATCTCGTCATTTTGTGTTAATAACTGGCATCATAAAATCATGTCAGAACATATTGATTTACTTCTGATTAAAATAGTTAAATTAATTAATTTTAAGAAAGATGAACAAGATTACCTTGTGCAACTCACAAGCGATTTCAAATTAATACTTATAGATGGATGACAATAATTATTATAAGACATCATTTAAGAAATTATGATTTACTTCAGCTTTTATCAGTTAGAGATTCGTATTCAATCTTTCATATACTCACTTAGTCCTATAAACTTATAGGTACTTGACTTTTTAGTAATGTATACGACTAAATGATTATTTTCTTTTCATATTTTATTTATAGACAATCATCGTCATCATCTTCACATAAAAGAAAGCGTCATTCCCGGTCTCGATCGCCACAACATCGTCGTCGTCATAGTCCATCACCATCACGTCGTCATCGACATCATTTATCTTCATCTCCTCGTCGTCATCATCATCATCATCAACGTCGTAGTCCATCACCACCACCTCGTCCTGCTTCTTCACGTCGTGAGCGTACTCCACCACATCAAACAAAATCGCGTGAAAAACAATCTAAAGAAGAACAAGAACGTCGTATACGGGAAATGCTTGTTGATGGAGCTATACGAACTGAACAGCGTCAACAAAATGTTCGTTCATATAAAGAACGTGATGAAAAAGAAGAGAAAGTTAATGAATTAATTAAACAACGAGCAAAGAAAAAAAATGATTTATCGTCATCTGATGATGAAGAAGAGGACTTTATTCGACCTATGATGAAACAAGTTATTGATGATCCAAGTTTGAAACGAAGAGATCTTAAACATCATCATCATAAACGACGATAAATGTTTTTACTTTTTTTGTGTATTGTGTTTTGTATGTCTACAATCCATCTCGCTTTGTTTGTTTGTGTAAAAACAACGATATTACATAAATATAGATATAATCGGTGAATATGTGTTACTTATTGGAGAACCTCTCCAAGTGTCGAATTGCTTTTCGATCGAGACCAGGTATCAGAGCTGTCACGAGCGGGGAGATGACTCCCTCAATCTTGAAAAATTTTCCATTTGCTATAGCAAAATTTCAGTATTTTGTTTTTTTTTTGTTCACCAATTTCAAAAAAAAAACTTTTATTCTCCTTTCCCCCAAAGTTCGGTCATTTTTAGCAAAATTTTTTTTAACGACTTCCTACGTTATCGACATCCCCCTCTCCAATTCTTCCGACCTCGCGACACCCCTGTCACGTACAGTCATAGTAGGATTTCCCAACTTTTATTTTATATGAAAAATTTTACTATTTAGTTTCTTTCTTAAATAAAAACAAGAAAAAACAAAAAATCATCTCAAGGTCAGGTTTCACTTGATATGCTTTTGCTTCTAAAATTCAATAAATTTCGGTAAGTACGTTTACTAGCTGCTATTGATATTGAAAGGAAACACAATATTGATACTAAACGTCATAATCGTGGATATATACACATAAAGATTTTTTTCCATCATGATCATAGATGTTAACTATATACTCATTCATTTTTCTCTCCATATATTCAGTACATCATCTGGGGATGAGTCTTCATTAAGAACGAACTCTTAGTAAAATAATATCACTTTCCATCTGTTGTCAGAGCACTAATTATGAGATATGACTAGATGAAACGTTCTCATGTGTAACAGCAAACTTTCAAGTCAAAATTCGGAAGTAAGTTTTCCATGTGATCTTAAAGAAATCATAGCTTTTTATTAGAAAAACTCAATGAAATTTTGATATTTCAAGAACTAAGATGTCAAGAAAAACTTTCTCTATATGTGCTGATTGTAAAAATACTGTTCTGAAATGTATCATTCTTTAAATAGGTATCATAAAAACAAAATGTCGATAAGAGCTGTTTGTTATGATATGTGATAATAACACTTTAAATATTTCGAATAACTTTTGATAGAATCTAGACAGAGAAGTGCAGATTTTATTACACAAGGCTAAAAAATTACTTCCTTATCAAAGGAAAATAGAAATAGCTACTTTCAATATCGAGTAGAACACGTCGGTACCTCCTAAATGATGAAATTTAAACATCTTATAACTGAAAACTCACTGTGAACATCTCATGAAGTAGACTTTATTATCATAAAGGTCAACTGAAGAATAAAACTGTAATAAACGATTTGATCTGTCATCATTTCCTCTTTTCAAAGGTAAAAGTCACCATTTTCTCTCTTGATTCTTTCAAAATTTATTCACAATACATAAAAGTATTATCGTGATGTATCATAACAAATAGCTCTTATCGAAAAGTTTTCTTAACCTTTCTATATGATATGGAAGTACTTTTGGCGAACTTCAAATCAATATCAATCGAAATTCCTTGATATTTCGTCAATTCATTAAGTATCCAAATTACTTATGATGCTTTAATCGAATATAAAACTTTTTTGTGTAGTTATTTTCTTATGTGTAATCAAGAAAAAATGCTTCATATACAAAAATAAATCGGATATATTGTGTTCTTTTTCTTTCTCTTTATTATCCTTTGTTTTTCTTTTTCTTCATGTTTTTTGTTATACAGCTCTGTTCTATTCTGTCGTCGTACTACCTTGAATATAATATAAAGTGAACGACGAGAAAAATGGGACAATATGATTCACCTTTCTTTATATACACATTAATTTGAGAAGAGAAAAAAATACGACGATTATTTTCTTCTGCTTTTCTTTTTTGCTACCATAGACGAGTCAATGACAAACTAGTAATATATACACAAGGACCACGCTGATTTGATATTAGCTTCATCATTTATAAATAAGTACCTAAGCGATCAAAACAATATTTGCAAGTAAGCGAACAATATTTTTTTGTTTGTTGTTATTCGTTTACACCAAACACATAAATTTTAATATTCAATCTCAAACAATCGTCAATTAATTATTTTTTCTTTTACTTCTTCCTCTCTTGAGTATTTTATCAGGCGATAAGACATTTTCTTCTATTTTATTGACATCGACGATGAGTCAGAAACAAAGCCTTTTCGATCATATTCAATAAATATTGCATTTATAGGTAGTAGTAAAGTTTTGATAATTTTTTTTTAATTGTAGAACAAACAAAAAAAATCTATGGCAGAATCTTCAGCAGCTGATTATGTATTTAAAATTGTTTTAACAGGTGATTCAGGTGTTGGCAAATCAAATTTATTATCACGTTTTACTCGTAATGAATTTTCACTTGAAAGTCGTTCAACGATTGGTGTGGAATTTTCAACAAAAGAAGTTCAAGTTGATGGTAAAACAATTAAAGTACAAATATGGGATACTGGTAAAAATGATTGTTTTATTTTTCTTTTTAAAAAAGAAAACAAAGAATAAATTTTTATATATTTATAGCTGGTCAAGAACGTTTTATGGCCATTACAAAAGCTTATTATCGTAATGCTTTAGGTACTCTATTAGTTTTTGATATTCTTAAAGCATCAACATTTCAAAATCTTGATCAATGGTAAAAAAAAATAAATAAAAAGCAATCATTTTAAAACTTCTTATTTATTTTCGTTTTTCAAATAGGTATAATGAAGTGCGAGCAAATGCTGGTATTGAATGTTGTATTATTTTAGTTGGTAATAAAATCGATCAACGACATATGCGTGCAGTACTTTATGAAAATGCTAAACGTTATGCTGATGAAAGAAATATTCCGTAAGATATATTCTTTAGTATAAGTATTAGAAACAAAATAAAAATTTTGTTTTTACTTTTTTTTTTCTAGTTATATTGAAACATCAGCATTAGACGCAACGAATGTAGAACAAGCTTTCCGTAGTCTTATTGCAGACATATATCGAAATTGGGCATCTCGAATGGATTCATTAAAAGAGAATCCACACGAAGGTCCACGCCCGGTTAGTCAAACAATAAGACCTTATTATCCATCATCAAATCAATCGACAAGTGATAATACTGCTAAATCATGTTGTGGTAGCTTTTCATAATATTCTTTTTTTCTTTTATTTATTGTACAATATCTAATTTTATTTACGTAAAAGAATACACAAAAAATTTTCTCTTAATAATAACAATATTCTACATTGTATTGATGAATAATATAAATATCGATCGATTGAATCTGAACAAAAATTTTCATTGAAATTTAGATGAACATTAGTATTAATACTAATATGAACGCTTTTAATGAATGCTAGATTGTTAGCATCATTTTCATTCTAATACATCTGCTATCTGCGACTATATAACTGAGAGTTCATGTTTGAAAGTTTTCGATCATAGAAGAAAGGTTTCTCTTAATCGGAAATAATATTTCCATTGTTTGGTTTTTGGAATTTCTGAGTTTACAATGTCCGATGTCTATTAGTCGGAAGTCTATGTATTAGTATTGAAGATAATGATAATTTAATGCTAACACATTGTCGTTGATAGATTCTCAGACGGATATTCCTGGTGGCAGTTATGAGCTATGTTGACTTCATTGTTATTGCTTTTTTTTTGTTTAGGGTTACTCTTTCAATTTTACATTTGGGATATCGATATTTTGATCTTTTGAATAAATCTGAATGGTTTCCAAGAATTCCTTTTATTGTTTTAACACGAAATTTATTTGTCTAGAAGATCAGATTTTGCATCAACAAGCTGCTATACATGAAGATTTTGAAATTAATTTGGAAACAAAAATCGGAACCAAATTGAATGAAGATCCATTTGTTTGGATCATTCTTTGAATTAAAGATACATCGACAAAAAAATCAAAAACTAACCATTATCTTCCAGTCTTTTGTTGAGTGACAGTTCTCACTATTTTGATTGGACAGCCGTTGAGTAATAGTTAAGGGCGATATAGGCAGAAAAGGATGAAATTAAAATTATTTGCTATGAAAAACAGTCGAGAAATCCGAAACATAGGTGTGAACGTCCTGGTGTATGCGTATAATGGACGTTGATGAAATTGACTTAATAATATATGGCTTGTCCAGGTTACCTAGGTTGATGAAGTAACAACTTAGATATTGATGTTTGTCACAGTTAGGTTTAATATGCCAATCAATAAATAATTTATTCACATACTATACCAATTAAAACACACATTCGAAACTGGATTTTTTTCTTATAAATATAAATGCAACAAGAGATATGGGATGCGTCAATATTAGTTCTAACTAATTCCGGATCTGGGTTTTGACTTGAAACTGAAACTGAAACTGAAACTGGAATGAATTGAAATGACTTGGTCTTAAAAAAAAAACTTGAAATCGAATTCTTAATTTATGTGAATACATGTAAAACTAGGAATTATGCAATAAGCTATTCTAATTAATTCTAAGAATTGAAATTGGTGCATCCATAGCAGAAGATCATACTGCTGAAGTTATTATTGAGTAAAAGGTCAAGTATTAATGATGAGTAAATATTCATTATATAGTTTAGGTTTCAAATAAGGATTGTTTCTTCGCATGTATATATATATATATGTATATTCATTATGTAAACGATGAAAATGAATTCGTCAATTATAACCTCATGACTTTGACATTGTTCGCTTATATATTTGCATCTTCAATTAACTTTATAAGCGTACTACAGATATTATTAGCATATACTTTAGAATTATTGATATCAGAAGTGATGACATTTAGTTGAGAGAAGTTTTTTTTGCAAGATTTGTTTTCATGTATGATCTGATGAAGCAATCTCTTAGTATTCTTCACAACATTTTTTCATGTTTATCATCTTTTTTATTTTTTATTACAATAAGAATTCAATATTTAAAAAAATTTTATATATTTACGATATTTATCGTCAATCAAACCAATGAACATCTATTGATTTTGTAATATTTTGTTAACACTGTTTGTTATTGAATAAATGTATATTTATTAGGAAAACGTCTACTGGCGATCATACATTATAGTAGTAGAAGAGTCAATTAATAAATTATTTATTAATTAGTGTATGAAAAAGTAAATGTGATAAATGTCAACATTGAAGTCACAACTTAATCGAACAGAGTTACCTAGATATGACATGCATATCTTTCAATAGCAGAAAGTGCACGTTATTTTGATTTTATCATTCAGACGATGGAGATATGTTTCTTTTGTATTTTCACATCTAGTTGATAGAAAATTTTTCATTCACAAGTTTTAAGTATTGGATTTTTCTTCTTTCTCAGAAAGAGATATTTAGATCAATATTTAACATTAATAAATTATTATACAAAGAAATAATATCTATTTAATTGAGCGCGTCACTTTTCTTCTTTTATTTTGCGTTATTGTTTGTGTTTTCATCTCTCTACGTATAATGGATTGATTGAATAAGATCACTTTGTTTGAAAATGTCTCGAGCTGAAGGTGTAGTACCACCTATTGCTACTCATCAACTATCTGGTAAAATACTGCGTGCTTCACGTACAATAACATCAAAAAATGACGAACCACAAGTACCTTTATTGATTATAAATCGATATCGTGTAACAACAATGATTGGTTCAGGTTCATTTGGACATATATTTGAAGCAGATGATATTCATACACGTGAACAAGTTGCTATTAAATTTGAATCTCATTCTCTTCAATATCCACAATTAGCTTATGAAGCACGAGTTTTAAAACTTATTTCTGGAACTGGTATTCCGAAAATATTTTGGTTAGTGTAGAAAAAAAAAACGAATTGATTAAATTCAAAAAAGTTAAGATTATATTATATTTTTGAAGGTATGGCGAAGTTGATGATTATAATGTATTAGTTATGGAAAAATTAGGTCCAAGTATTGAAGATCTTTTATGTTATTGTCGTCGATCATTTTCACTTAAAACTGTTCTTTTACTTGCTGAACAAATGCTTAAACGGTACATAGTTTTTGTTTAATTCATGTTATTGTAAGAGATTTATATGATTTAGTTTACAACATATTCATTCACGTACATTTCTCCATCGTGAGTAAGTCTATATGCGAACATTTTCTTTATTTTAAATAAAAAATTAATAAAATTTAGTTTAAAACCTGATAATTTCTTAATGGGAGTTTTTGCTTGGTCTCATCGTTTATATCTAATTGATTTTGGTCTTTCAAAACGATATATTGATTCTAAAACACGACGACATATCGTCTATCGTGAAGGCAAAGGTCTTACAGGTACACCACGTTATGCTTCAATTAATTCTCATCTTGGAAAAGAACAATCAAGACGTGATGATCTTGAAGCACTTGGCTATGTTCTTGTTTATCTTTATGAAGGACGTTAGTATCATACATTTCTATTGAAGATCAAAACGAATAAGAAGTAGATGTGTTTGAGTCTTAATATAAGATCTTCTGTTTAGCAGCTTTAAATCTTATTAGGTCTATGAAAAGAGAAGTAGTCAAGAAAACAGCTGCACATGTCTCTGTCTTCTTTAAAATCATTAATCATAGAATAAATCAACAGAAACTGACTTTTTTTTAAATGAAAATATAAGCAATATTATACTGAAGTGAATTTAATCGCTCGTATTTAAAAATTACATTCGATTCAGTTTCGATCTCTGATTTCTATTCTCTAAAAAGTGATCATTTTTATATTCATATTAAGGTTTACCATGGCAAGGTCTTAAAGCAGCAGCTAAATCGGCTAAATATGAAAAGATATGTGAACGAAAACTTCATACATCACTTGAATCTCTTTGTATCAATATGCCAAGTGAATTTTCAACTTATTTAAAATATTGTCGTAATCTTGAATTTACTGATGAACCTAATTATCATTATTTATTAGAATTATTTGATGATCTTTTTGTACGACATGCTTTTGTACGTGATTATGTTTATGATTGGAATCTTATTCGATTTCGACGTGGATCAATATCCATATCAACAAATAATCGAGCATCACCTATACTTAAAAATGATGTTACAGAACGACCAATCATTTTAACCAATAAACGATCAAAATCTCTTACACCTGTTGTTGCCGCTACTGCTCGACATTTAAATCAACCTCAACAGTTCGTTGGAGATAAAACTTTTTGTTCTTAAATTGACACACAACTTAAAACTTTAGTCATGTAAAAATATTAACTTCGGATGTCTTCGTAATGATTGAATATAGGATATTTTGTTGGACGTTGTTTTTTTTTTGAATAATAAACTCCAAAAGCAAACATATGTTTTACAAAACCATTGAACTAATGAAATACGATATTCATTTATTAAAAATGTCATAAAAATTGTCAAATATTTTTACAATAAATAAGACGACATCCAATGTAGTATGTAAAGATACGAGAGGCTGATCGTCTAGTATGTGGCATCAGCTGTGCATATTCTTGTTCGTCTTTCTCTTTTCTTCAGTAGATTCATTTCTCCATAGTTAATTGCACAATATTCGTCTTGTTTTTTGTTCCTTACTCATTTATTGTATCTGGTTGTTGATGCGTTTCTAGCTTTATTAAAATGGATTATGTATGTGATGATTGTCATTGTCATCATCACAATTCATCATTCAATTCCTTGTCTGAATAATTGAAAATGGAAACGATAGTAGAGAGCATACAAGTTAATTGTTAATAGACACGCACAATTAAAAACGAATGATCAGCTGTCGACCATTATTGAGATAGATTTTTTCTCTTATTGTCTGTTCTTCCTACAAAAAATAATCTCTCTTTCATTTTTCTTCTTTTATTGATACTATTTACAGTAAATTTTTGATGCAAATATTAGTCTTACACATATCAGTACTGTAAAAGTACATGTGATCTCAAATTAATTAAATGAAAAATAACGGAAGAAATAACAAGAGTTTTATCCAAGAACTTAAATAATAAGGTTAGTAGTCATATTATGCGTTCATCAGTCACCTATTTGACAACGAGCTTTTGTTGCCAAAATAAATTCAGAAGCTCGTCACCAATGGGTCTTATGTGAATGATTATCATACTACTTCTTTTCAACAATTTACGAATATAGCAACCAAAGAAAAAGCAAAAACAAACACTT